AAGATTACCTTTCAAGATAAGTAATAAAGTAATTGGCACTTTTTTGTAATTGCAAAATGGAGCCTACCAGTAAAAGACCTGGCTGAGAAGAATACCTTGCTTATCCACATGGCTAATCTATATCAAGTTGCTTGGGTATGAATGTATGTGGGTTCTTGGAATAATTTCTTTATCACCTGTGATACATAAAATGTTTACTCATGTCAGGGATGTGGAAAGTGTGCTGTTCTTTACTTTTTGTTCTGTATTCATTGTAATCATTCACTTGAAAAACATAATATAATCACATTGTAATTTTTATATTGCCTGAAAGATTTTGCTGTGGTATATAAGCTGTAAGAAAAAGAATAAAGAGAGAGTTAGAGAGAGTTAAAATGGGCTAGAAGGAAAACATCAAGAATGAGAGTGAGAAGGAAAACATCAAGAATGAGAGAAGGAAATCATCAGGAAAATAAAGAACAGAAAATACAAAACAAGAGTAAAGAAAAGATCTGAAGGAAACCATCAAGAGAGTGTATGAGTATCTTTTTCTCTAACCCCCTCAGATAAGAAAGTCTAGTGTGCCAACACTGTGGATTTCCCCTTGAGCCCTGAGCTGTCTGGAGGCTGGTTCCCCAGGCAGCGATAAAGCTCTAAGAACAAATCAGAAAAAGTCACGAATAAAACCATACTGTTTCATTGTGAAGCTGTCAAGAACACACAGACTAACTAAAACACATACATTTCATAATTCCAGAATGAAAAGGGAACTCTCTTACATAAATGAAAGATAACCAATAGACTGTAACTTTCCTAAATGGACATACTGTGCATTGCTTTCTGCCTTCCTCAGGGAAGTTTTTTTTTTTTTTTTTTTTTTCTTCCACTGGGCAGCAATTAATGCAGACTCATGATTGGCCAATCTACGGAAAACAAATGTTGAGTGATCAATACTAAATGATCAATCCTAATGTCTATCTACAGAGCTCTGGGAACACTGCTAAAGAGAGACTGGAAAGAATGTAAGACCCATCTGGGGAAGAGAGCTATGCCATGACCATGTGACAAAGTCATTGCACTAATAAATACAAAACAGCTGTGGTTATTTGCACAAGTCCTGCACAAGATTCAGCCCACAGATGTGAGTGGAGCTTCTGAGAACCCATCCTCCATCAGGGATTATGGGCAGTTAATGGTTGATAGGAAAGGGGTTGTCATTTTCTTCAGTGATGGAGCCACTAAAAAACTGCCCGGTCTCTAGTAAATAAACCTCCATGGAAGCTGGTGCCAGCAACCCCAATTCCCCTCTGTGGGTTAAAGAATAAGAGTCACGCGGGAGCAGAAGAACATCTTGGGAAGAAGGAAGTCATAGGGAGAGGGATGAGAGGATGATGGGGATGAAAAATGCCAATAAATTCTCAAGGAATTTCAAATCAGTGGAAGATTTAAATAGGCACTTGCTAATACTTACCTTAATGAAAAACTTAAAAGAACAGTAGACTAAGGGCATAATATTTTTGTTTCTTATGCAAAATAAATACACAAAAGCAACTGAAAACCGACAGACTGTAGCTAGAGTTTTCCTGCCTGGCCCACAGTCAGGACAAATCTCTCTCACCTGCCAGTCCCACAGCCGCTCAGACCCGACCAAGTAAACACAGAGACTTATATTGGTTACAAACTGTATGGCCGTGGCAGGCTTCTTGCTAACTGTTCTTATAGCTTAAATTAATCCATTTCCGTTAATCTATACCTTGCCACATGGCTCGTGGCTTACCGACATCTTCACATGCTGTTTGTCATCGTGGCGGCTGGCAGCGTCTCTCTGACTCAGCCTTCCACTTCCCAGCTTTATTCTCCTCCTTGTCCCGCCTACTCTTCCTGCCTAGCCAATGGCCAATCAGTGTTTTATTTATTGACTCATCAGCAACACATTTGCCATACAGAACATCCCACAGCAACGGACTGTTTTAAAGGAACACTGAAATGGGAAAGCACTGTATGAGAAAATATCCAGGCTCTTCATTCCTGTGTCACATACGGCTGTTCACTCTATGGTGGTGGAATTAAATACGGAAGACAGACTACAAGGCCCACAGAATCGAAACTACAGGCTCTGTATCACTTTATGGAAAGTGTGGGTTCTCTCCTGGGTCTATCAAAATAGGCATGCAAGTTGATATAAACCTAGACTCAGAATGCTGCGGGTCAAATGAGAGGGCGGGATTTCCTGACTTCAGTTTCCCATCGTCACTGAACTTTATGGTTTTTTTTTATGTTTTATTGTTTACTTTTTGACTTCTCCAGACTTATGGACTTGTTGCAGCCTGGTAAGATGTATTATTATATGTCACTTTTTCTAGTAAGTTCATGACCTTGACACAAGCTACCATTATGCTCTATTCTTTCTTGTGTGCTTGACATATATACCACTTTTAAATACTTGTCTCAAAAATGTTTTCATTACGTTTCATGTAAAATTAATATTTATGTATTTCTAAAAATTAATTTTTTTGTGTGTAACTCTTCATGTTCTTCACTGGATCTCTTTACTTTGCCTGAAAAACTATACCTTTTTTTTTTCTTACCAAAACCCTTGGCAAACTACTTTTTTTGCAATATGCTGGAAGCTTTTATTTTTATCTTTATTATTTCTTTGGTTATATTTTATTAACGTATTTATTTCTATTATATGAACACTTTTGATTATAAGGCATTCTAGATGGACATTTATTTATAATTCACTCTGAAAACATCATCATATCTTCTCCCAGCTCCCTTTGCATCTGCTGCCGTATCTATCACCACCTCTTTCTTGCTCTTACCAGGTAACAAGTTTGTTTTGTCTGGCGAAATTAAGATTTGGGGTTTAAATTTAATCTTCGGTGAGTATATTATGCTTGCATAAGATTTTAATCGGATTTTTCTCTCTGGACCATGCACAGATAATCTTTTGAAAAAAATATAAAAATATAAAGTATTCAAACAAATGACTCCATTGCATGTCTTTGTCGCTTGACGCGTTGTGATTGCACGTTTTTCTCATCCACGAGGGCTGAGAGTTCCTTTATGCTGTCTTCAGTGTTTTGCATCCCATTTTGAAATCATTTTGCTTCAACTTAATCTGCCAAAGTTTAAGTTTAATAATTTAGCTCAGTTTATTGAGTTACTAACTTTACTATTCACTTGTTTTAATGATTTTGAACCCAAATTTGTTTTTCTGGTGAATTTCCACAATTTTCACATAGACTTTGGAAAATTTCTTGCTTCTCTGCATAACGAATTTGAAATTGCTAACCTGAAAACTCCAATCTGTGGCTGATATTTCTGTTAGCTTTTAAAATCTGTTCTTTCTTTTGTATCCTTCTGTGGGGTTGGACAAATTCAACATTTTGAATTTAAATTATGGATGATCAGAACATAAACACCATACACACACACACACACACACACACACACACACACAGAGAGAGAGAGAGAGAGAGAGAGAGAGAGAGAGAGAGAGAGAGAGAGACAGAGACAGAGACAGAGACAGAGAGAGAGAGAGAGAGAAAGAGAGACAGAGAGACAGAGAGACAGAGAGGTGGGGGATGGTATGGAAGAATATTGCCCTAAATACAGCAAAAGCTAAGACAAAAGAAAATTGCTAATATTCCAGCAAAAATCTGTCTCCATTTCCCAGTCTATAGTAGATATTCCCTTGCCTTTTTAAATTAAAGATTATGTCTCTTAGTAGGTTTTGAATTTTGTTAATTATTTTCTCCCTACATTGATATGGGAATTTTTTTCTAATTTTTAAGTAATTCAATTTTGTCTCATAGGAAACTAGTCCTGGAAATGTCTGAAGTAAAAAATAACAACCCTAGAGTATCAAAGCTTTGTGCTCATCTCTGTATCCCCTAGCATAGTGTTGCCACAGATGTGTGCACTTATTTCTACAAAAGTGGTTTGATAGTTCTGGAAAACAAATCGCAAAGAAAACCCATTTTTATTTTCCATAATGTTCTCCAGAATAGTGGTCCCTTAGTTTCTCATGTTTTATACCATGTATTTCATTTATACCAGTATTTCATTACCTTTAGTCTTACCAGCCCAATTGTGGGGCACAGATACATTAAAAATAGAAATGATTTTTATTTTGGAGAAAATTACTTACACAGGGATATGCACATATACATCTGCATATCCCTATATATGAGTCTATATATAACAATTCATACACCTGAGGCTTGGGAATCATTGCAAAAAGAGGAGAGGAAAGATCATAAAATCCAGGGGACAGGGACTTCACTGCGAGATTGTGTCTCCTAGAAATCTCAGAATCTACACCCATAAATGCTCACCAAGGTCACTGTCTAAATATGAGTTGGACAAGGACAGTGCCAATAGACGTGTGAATGTAGAAGGCGCAAGCTCATGAGGTCCCGACCCTATACAAAGAACTACAGGCAACTACGGAATGCCGAGAGGGAAAACATTTGTAATGAGCTGTTAGTAAGAAACGGTGTATTTCCCTATTGATTTTAGGCAGCCAAATGTAATAAAATCTCTTTCCCTCTACCTCTCTCTGCTTCCCTCCCTCCTGCCATGTATCGTTTAAAAAACCCCCACACATCTGAAAAATCACACAGAAATACATAAAACCATGTGACAAACCGAGAGACTCTTCAGTAAAACTAGACAAAGGCAAAATCTACAATGAAACACATTTTAATGCTAATATATACAGCTTAATAAAAAGTAGAGAGTTCACACTTGATCACATTTCACAGATCCTTACAAAGACACTAATAAACTTGTCTGCAGGCTGTCACAGAGTCCGAATGAAAATGACAAAGAAGATGGTCATGCATTGTTGAGTTTTCTCAGATAACTCGTTATTCTGAGTAAAGAATAAACAACTTTATTTAGTTTAGTATAAAGTTGAAAATTATGAAGATGTTTAAGAATTCCTCATGTGAAGGATACTTCTATTAAGACAACATGTAGCAGTCAACATTCTGGGCAGCTGCAGAAACTCCTCAGTAGAAGCCATAGGACCAGTACCTTCTACAGCACAGAGGGCAGCAACAGCCATAACCATAGCCACCATAGCCACCATAGCCACAGCCATAACCATAACCTAGGCCACCATAGCCGTAGCTCAGGCCTCCACAGTAGCTGCCATAGTAACACATGGTGTTAGGAGTGGACTGTTCAGAGGAAGCCCAGAAGAAGGATGCTTGAGTCTCGATTTCATCGTCTGCCAAGGACCTTTTATACACTCGGGTGTTTGGTGGGGAAAACCACAGGTATTATAATGTCATACAAGTCTCCACTATGCTTCAGAAAACATCAACATGCCATGGTTGACTGGACTAACAAAACTGCATAACTTGAGGTAATTGTGCTCCTATGTCAGAATCCCATGGTCAAATCATGAGACTCTAACATGAAATTCTGGTACTGTTTTCAAGACTCTGCCTCATTCTGTATTTAGTTTATTTAATACTTATGAAACTCTTCTGTGCTTCTATATCAATCATTGAAGTAGTGCTCTCTTTTTTATTTCTGTTTGTTTTGTAATACTCCACAAGTAAGAGGTCTTTGTGTTTTCCTTTTCTTTTGTTTGCTTTGTTATTATAGAGAAATTCTATCTGGAGAAATTTATTTCCCACATCTTCCTAATGAAGAATCATCTGGTTATTGGTTGTCTTATTGGTAACTTGATGACAGTTAATGTCTACATAAGTGTATTTTGGTTTTATTCTGGATGTATTCTATTCTTAAATGTTCTTTCAAACTTTTGTATGTCTGTTTTTGTGCTATTGTCCTTTAGATTTTATTACTATGGCTCCTTGTTATAATTTGAGATCAGGTCTCATGATAGGTCCAGCTTCTTCCTTTCTGCTTTGTTCTATTTTGGCTACTTATGCCTTCATATGACCTTTAGAATTGTGTTGTCTAGTTCTGTTAAGAATGTAATTAGAATCTTGAAGAAGATTGCATGAAATCTGTGTGTTGCTTCAGCAAACAGCCATCCCTATGTTATTAATTATGCCAATCCATGAACAGGGTATGTCATTCTCTATCCTAGTTTCTTATTCAAATTTCCTTCACCAAAAATGGATGCTACTGGTAATTATGTTAAAAAAAATGAGCCAAACTGAGAAAAACAAATGCTGAGCTTGTGAGATGGCTCTGTAGGTAAAGGCACCTCATTATGCCTGATGATCTGAGTTTGATCTGAGCATTCCATACAGTAGAAGGAAAAAAATTCAGTCTCAAATTTATCCGATGCCTTCCAGGTTCATGATGTGGCATGTGCATATCTCCCAACCCAACACATACAGAAAGAATAAAATTCGAATAAAAAAATAAAAAGCCACAGATTTACAGGCCCCAGGGGAGAACCGATGCTAATTATTCTATTAAATGGACATATTAAAATCACTAATGACTTGTTGTTATACCAATAGAACAGTATATCCCTTAACCCCCACCAGAGAAGCTTTTTTGCCTTAAATGGCAGTAAACAAAGAGGATGCCTCCCAGTTGGTTAATGTCCAGATAAAAAAAAATGGAGTTCTGAGTTCTAAGTTGGAAATCCATATCACACTCACACTCCCCTCTTTGTAGAAGAGGGGACAGGAAGACAGGAAGAGTCAGAGGTGGTGAATGACATCAAGGGACACAACAGAGCAGATGGACACTTGAATCCATAATGACTGTGACAATATGGATAAGACCTGAGAAAGCTCCAACCAGAAACAAATCCTAGCATGGATGGAGAAAGGAGGTCAACCATTACTAGCTGAGGAGCATTTAGCATTTGCTAACATGGCTGCGGAAAGGTCAGTTTTTGTTACTGATATGACCTCTGGTAGGCTGACCACACACCAAAGCAGAACCCAGTGCAAGACAAGCTGGGCAGCACAAACTGGAGTCCATGGTGGGGGATTAGAAGAAAAGTAGAAATCTCAAAGTTGGGTAGGAAGAGCAATGGGAAGATTAGGAAGTGAGGGTGTGAATATTTCCAAAATGCATTGTATGTGATTGTCAACTAGTACAAATATTTCCATTATTTTTCCTTTTATTAAAAATATTCTTTTCTTACACAATATATCAGGATTGAAGTTTTACTCTCTCTACTCCTCCCAATTCCTCCTCACCTCCCATTCTTCCAGACCCATTCCATGTTTGTCTGTGATTAGGAAAGAACAGACTTCCAACAGGTCACAACCAAACACAACAAAATAAAATATAATAAGATAAAGCAATGACCATTATGTTGATGTCAGACACGGCAACACAACAGGAGGAAAAGAGTCCCTAGAGCAGGCGAAAGCATCAGTGACTGACTTATTCTCACACTCAGGAGTCTCATGAAAACACTAAGCTAAAAGCTGTCATACACATGCAGAGGACCTGGCGCAGACATGTGTAGGCCCTGTTCTTGCTGCTTTAGTCTTTGTGAGTTCATATGCACCTTGCTTAGCTGGTTCAGGGGAACTTGTTCTCCAGTTGTCCTCCATCGTATCTGGTTCTTACACTCTTTCTGCTTCCTCTTCCCTGGGGTTCCTTGAGCTCTCTCAGAGGAGGGATTTTACAGAGACATTCCATTTGGACATTTTCTTCATGTAATATCTGGCTGTGAGTCTCTGCCTCTGTTCCAATCTGCTGCCAGAGGAAGTCTGTCTGATGATGACTAGATAAGGTACTGATTTATGAGTTGTGGTAGTTTGAATGTAATTGGCCCCATGATCATAGGGAGTGGTACTATTAGGAGGTATGTATGGCTTTGTTGGAGTGGGTATGGCCTTGTTGGAGGAAGTATGTCACTGTGGGGTGGGCTTTGAAGTCTCATATACGCCCAACCCATGTCCAGTGCCTCAGTCCACCTCCTGTTGCCTTCTGGTCAAGATGTAGCCAGCACCACGTCTGTCTGCATGCCGCCATGCTCCCCACCATGGTGATAATGAACTGAACCTCTGAAACTGTAAGCAAACCAGACCAATTAAATGTTTTCCTTATAAGAGTTGCCATGGTCATGGTGTGTCTTCACAGTAACAGAAACCCTAACTAAGATATAAGTATAGCACAATGTCGATAGGAATATATATATTGATTATATGTATTAGGTAGTGTTTGGTTTCACCCTATGTCTCTAAACTATCTACTCTTATTTCTTGGTTACCCAAGTCATATTGAGTATGTGTCATAGAGTGTGCCTTAAGTCAAATCAGACAAAACCGAGGTAACCCAGATCCAGGAAGATAAATATAAATATGTATTTGCTTATTAGCAGATATTGGTTGCTAAGTAAATGAAAACCAAGCTACAATACATCAATCCAGGTATAGAGCAAGTGCCACTGGGGGATACATGGATCTCCCTGGGAGGGGGGAATAGAATAAATTTTATGGGTGGACTGGATGTGTGGGGACAGGCAGGGCAGTATCAGGCAGGGAGTGTAGGAGAGATAGGGTAGAGGGAGTGAATTCCAGGGGATACAGCTGTAATTGAGGGGCATTTGTGGGATGATATGGAAACCTAGTGCAGTGGAAACTTTGTAAAATATATGAAGGTGATCCTAATGAGGTCTCCTAATAATGAGGATACATAATTTCAATTGGACATCTCTTGTCACCAAATGAGGCTTCCAGTAGTGAGACTGAGTTTCATTCAGTTGAATTCTTGGCCAAGAATCCCACGGAAATGTCCTAAACAACTAATGCTGTTGCTAAGGCAGTGGATTGTTCTCCACAAACTGACAGTTAGACCCCATTGCTGAGGACAACACTCACCCAAACCACTGAATATGGAGGAGTGGAGCTGGTACCTCCATGGAGCCTTCAACTTTATGCTCTAGTGCCTTGGGCACAGGAAGATACTCTGCAGGCTACCAAAAGAGAAACATAAACACCAGTCTAGCCACAAAACCATTGGATTACAATCATCCTGTCTGCAAAATATGCTAGGGCAATGGTGGCACATAATTTGTGGGAGTAATACAAATATTTTGAGTTAGAAAACATTTTAACACTAAAATGTTTTTAAAGGACCAATGTTACAAGGTTTATCTTACAAACCAATTCAACATTTAAATGACTGATGCCTATGAAATCACAGCATGAGACCCAGTACAGAATTCTTAAAAGACAACTGAGCACAGAAGTCCATCTGTAAACACAGCAGACCAAGTAGAGCAAGACAGAAAGTCAGACTAACTGGAATGCCAAACGCTAGCTCTAATGACTACCTAAATATGTAAGGTGGAGAACAACGGAGAAAGACAGAAGACCTCCACGTGGAAGCCTCCCGCACTGGCATACTTGTGTGCACACACAAGCAATACACACACACAACTCCACACAAACATGCATATGCACCTGTTCACACACATGCACACAAACACATGTAAAGCACACATACTGATGTTACAAACATAAAAATACAAACCATTAAAGTACATAACTTCATGCATTCAACTAAGAAAGTTTTATTTAACAAAACAAGCACCTGTATAAGAAGGTGATCCATACAAATGAAGAAAACAAATACATCAGATGGGATTAATATACAATTTTTTTTGAGGGGATGATATGCACAATCAAGCTAAACATCCCAGAGAATATAAACTAATGCTAAAATGAGCAGAGAATTAGAACAGGCATTTTTTCAAAGAAAAGATACAAATGGACAAACACACAATAATGTTCTACTTCACTAATAGCACAGAGATGCAAATCAAGATCAAGGTGAGATTGTACTTCACAACTGTTAGATACTTAATATTAAAAATAAGGAAGATGAATGGTACAGAGCATATTGAGAAGAGGGAACTCTTCTCGATTGCAGGTGAAAATATAACATGGTGCAGTCATGACAGAAAATAGCACGTGGCATGTTTGCAAACTTAGAGCGAAGTGACAGAGAAGCTAGAAGCCATTTTACTGCTACTGTAGTTAGATAAAAATCACTGGAATTTTGAGAAAAATGTACACTACCAGGGTTATTTGCACATTGTTTACAATAGTCAAGTTATATTAACAACCAAATGTCCATCTGTAGATGGCTGGTGAAAGGATATGTTTCTCTCTCTCTGCTGTCCTCTGCTCCATCCTTATTTACCTTCTGTTTTCTTCTCCATCTTTCTTTTCTTCACTTCCCCCCACTTTCCACAACCACCCCCACATGTGACCGAACAGATCAAAAGCAGAAAACCTGCAGAAATTGATTTGTACTATTTAATCATTGAGTTATCTGATAATATACATGTTTTTACACAAAAATTGAGAGTCAAACATGAAAATATTTTAGAGAGTATTATGAAGATAACATAAACATAAATCACAGTCCAAATGAAGATGAGTAATTAGATGACCATGTTGTACTTCAGTTTTATTTCAGATATTCTGGTGTAAAGTTAGAACTTTTGAAGATGTTTTTAAAGTATTGGTGTGAAAATACTTGGAAGCACTTGCAGGCAAAAAGGCAAGGAAGATGCATAAACCCTTCAGTAGAAGCCATAAGACCAGTATCTTCTACAGCACAGTGGGCGGCAGCAGCCATAACCATAGCCACCATAGCCACCATAGCCACCATAGCCACAGCCATAGCCATAGCCTAGGCCACCATAGCCATAGCCCAGGCCTCCATAGTATCCGCCATAGTAACACATGGTGTCAGGAGTGGACTGTTCAGAGAAGATAAGCAGTAGGTTTCTTGAGTCTGGATGTCACCATCTGCCAAGGGCCTTTTATACACCTGGGTGTTTGGTGGGGAAAACCACAGGTATTATAATGTCAAACATGTTTCCACTATGCTTCGGAAAACATCAGCATGCTATGGTTTACTGGACAAACAAAGCTGCATAGCATGAGATAATTGTGCTCATGTGTTAGGATCCCATGGTCAAATCATGAGGCTTTCACGTGAAATTTTGTTTCTATTTTCAAGACTCTGCCTCATTCTGTATTTAGTTTATTTAATACTTATGAAACTCTACTGTGCCACAATACAAATCATTGAAATAGCTCCCTTCTTTTTCATGTCTGTTTTGTAGTACTCTAATGCATAAAAGGTCTTTGTGTTTTCTTTGCTTTGTTATTATAAAATAAATATCTGGAGGCAAGTATTTCCTAAATATTCCTCATGAAGAATGATCTGGTTATTGGTTATGTTGTAGTTAACTTGATGACACAATGTGTAAATAAGTATATTTTGGTTTTATTTTAAATGTATTCTATTCGTAGATGTTCTGTCATATATTTTTACTATGTTTTGCTAATCCCACTGGTCCTTGAGCATAGAAGATCTTTCCATATTCTGATCTCTTCTTCAATTTCTTTCTTATATGTCTTTTTTGTGATATTGTTATGTTTTTCTTACTATGGCTTTGTGGTATAGTTTGAGATTAGATTCTGGGATAGATCCAGCATCTTTCTTTCTGCTTAGTATTGTTTGAGCTCTTAGAATCATGTTGTGCCTTCATATTTTCTTTAGGATTGTGTTGTCTAGCTCTCTTAAAAATACAATTGGAATTTTGATGGAGATTGAATGAAATCTGTATATTGCTTTAGCAAACATAGCCATTTTCATGTTGTTAATTTTACAAAAAAAACAGTAATCTCCAAGTTGAGTGGGAAGAGAGATGGTATTTCAGTTAGGGTCCCATTGCTATGATGAAACACCATAATGAAAATCAAATTGAGGAAGAAAGGGTTATTTGGGTCATACTTCCATATCACTGTTTATTACCAAAGGAAGTCAAAACAGGAACTGAAACAGGGTAAGAACCTGGAGGCAGGAGCTGATGCAGAGGCCATGGAGGAGTACTATTTACTGCCTTGCTCATAATGGCCTACTCAGCATGATTTCTTATAGAACTCAGGACCAACCTTCCTAGAGATGGCACCACCCATAATGGACTTGGCCTTCCTTCATTAATAGCTAATTAAGATAAATGCCTTTTAGGCTTGCATACTTCCCCACCTTTTGGAGACATTTTCTTAATTGTGGTTCTCTCCTCTCATATGACCTTAGTTTCTGTGAAGTTGATACAAAAGTATTCAGCACAATCGACCCCTTGTCAACTTGACACACAAACACACCTCCATTAACCTACAACCTTTCCTTTTTCCTTTACCCCAAGATCTCACAATAAAAGCATAAATAACTTTAAAAGTCTTATAGTCTTTACAAATCCAAGCCCATTAAAATTTCAGTCTCCAAAAAAAAAAAAAAAAAAAAAAAAAAAAAAGGCCGGGCGGTGGTGGCGCACGCCTTTAATCCCAGCACTCGGGAGGCAGAGCCAGGCGGATCTCTGTGAGTTCGAGGCCAGCCTGGGCTACCAAGTGAGTCCCAGGAAAGGCGCAAAGCTGCACAGAGAAACCCTGTCTCGAAAAACCAAAAAAAAAAAAAAAAAAAAAAAAAAAAAAAAAAAAAAAAAAAATTTCAGTCCCTTTAAAGTATCTAATCTCTTAAAAAATTCAGAACATCTTTGAAAACTCCAAGATCTGTCAACTGTGGGCTTCTGTAAAAATCCAAATTAAACTGAATACATTCTTACTTCAAGGGGAAGAACTAGGGCACAATCATAGTCAGATCAAAGCAAACCAATTTTCCTCCAATGTAAATAACACACTGCCCGATGTCATGGATCCACTCTCAATCTTCCAGGCTCATCTAAATGGCCTGAATCACTTCTCTGGCTCTGCCCTTTGTAGCACACACAGCTTGTCTTCTGTGCTTGATCAGGCTCCACTCCACTGCTGATGTTCTTGGTGGTTGCCTCATGGTACTGGCATCTCCAAAAAAAAGTTGATGCCAGTAGACTTGGATAGAATGTGGACTGTGAAACATTGGATTGGGAAAGAGGTGAACACTTTAAGTGTAGCTTAATGGGCCTTACTAGTAGAAATGTGGAAAGATATCAGTGCTTGGAGCAATGTATACTATGATTGCTAAGCTCAAGAGGTTTCAGAGAATAATATTAATAAATGGTCTAGAGATTTTTTTTTTGATATTTTGACAAAGAATGTGGCTGCTTTATGCAGTCTGCCTGAGGTTAAATTTATGACTTTTGGATTAATGGTGTTGACAAAGGAGACTTCAAGATAGCCTAGTATTTACTGTCTCATGGTTATTATTGTTCAGTCTTTTGCAGATCTACAAAGAAAAGGAGCAATCTGTGAAAGGAAAAATACAAAAGGTACAGTTTGAGGAGAAAAGGAAGTATAATGGAGCTAAGTTCAGTGCTCAGGGAGACAAAAAAGTTTACAGCAAAGCCTAAGCTAAATGGAAGAAAAGGAGTGGTAACCTCAGGGCCAGATGCCACCCAGCTAAGCATCCAAATTGTGAAGAGAAATTAAAGGAAAGTTTAAGCAGTGATGGAAATAATCAACAACAGAGAGCTGATAAAAATGTAATAGAATGAAGAGGCAAGTTCCAACCCCAGCAAACAGCAGAATTTGATGGCTTTTGATATGTGGTTTTGGCTTTAGAATAAAAGACATAAGAAAGGGGTTTGTTGTTTGTAAAGTAAGTCTCAGTCTTACAGTTTTTACCCATAAAGACTAGGGAATCAGATGGAAAACTGCTAGCTCAGAGAGGCTGAGGAACAACCAGCTGACCTTCCTCCTTAGCCAGCATCTCAGAAACAGAGCTTCTCTTCTGCTGTCCCAAGCCAAAAAGTCTGCCAAACTCAAAGTTCCTCCTCACTACTTCCTGTGCATTTCTGTATCCATTTTTCAGACTCCCTCTTACTCTCTATGGCTACTTCCTGTTAACTAGTTGACTCTGCCTCTTGACCCAAGGTTGGTTTTATTTAATTAATGCAATCTAAGGGTTCACAGTATGATCATATATTCAACAACAAGGGTTGTGGAATTTTTCTTCTTGGCTAAGGAAAGCTGCTGAGGCCAGGCATGTGTCAGGGGTGTCCTTGCATGGAGGCATAGAAAGGCCATAGTATAAAGCTGTGATGATGGAGCATGGGTTATGTTGGAGACCCTAAGATGCTGGAGATGACAAAGTTGTCAGATTACTGAAAAGGAGAGCTGAAGACTGTGTGTAGAACCAGCCAAAGAAATAGAAGTGTGTTGAAGTCAACAAAGCTGAAAGGAGATAAAGATATGTAGAGGTTGTTTTCCTCTGACATGAGGATGCAGAGTTTGGGATTTGTACATCTGGCTTTTGGACTTGCTTTGATCCAGTATTTACATCTGGCTTTTGGACTTTCTTTGGTCCAGTATTTCCTCACTATGCCCCCTTTTCTCCCTTAGAAATGGTAATATATATTATGTGCAATTGTATGTTAGAAATATGTGATCTGCTTTTTTTCATTTTTCTTTAGTAAGAAATTTTCTACTCACTCTACATACCACCCATAGATCCCCCCTCCTCCCTCCTCCCACCCTCCAGCCCTCCTTCTCAAGCCTGCTCACATCCCCACATTCCCCAAATCAAGGTCTCCCATGAGGAGTAAGCAGAGACAGACACACTGATCAGAGGCAGGTCCAAGACCCTCCCCACTGCACCAAAGCTGCACAAGGCATCACACCACAGGCTCCGGGCTCCCAAAAGCCTGCCCATGTACCAGGATGAATCTGCTTTTTGATTTTAAAGGGGTTACAGTTAAGAGATTGCCTTGAGACTCAGAAGAGACTTTGAGCTCGGGACTTTTAGACAGTATTAAGATTATGATAAACTATAGGAACTACAGAAGTTGTACTAAATGCATTTTACATTATGATTTGGTATAACCCTGGTGGGGCCAGGGAGTAGAATATGATGGTTTGAGTGAGAATAGCCTCCATAGGCTCATAGATTTCAATACTTGGTCACTAGGGACTGGCATTATTTGAAAGGATTGGAAGGCGCAGCTTTGTTAGAGGAAGTGTATCATGGAGTGGGCATTGAGGTTTCAATAGTGTGTGCTAAGCCCAGAGTCTCTCTTCTCCTGCTGCCTGCAGCTCCAGATGAAAAATTCTCAGCTACTTCTCCATCACCATACCTGCCTGTGTGCCACCATGTTTCCCTCATGATGAAAAAGGAATAAATTTCTGAAACTTCACACAAGTCCCAATTAAATGCTTTCTTTTCTAAAAATTAATGTGGTCTGACTGAAGAGATGAGCTGAGCTCACAACCAAAAATATAAGAATTATTGTGGCCATGGTGTCTCTTCACAGCAATAGAACTTTGACCAAGATGGATGGTAAAGGGAAGAGTTGAGGAGATGAATATGGTCAAAATGCATTGTAATCAATTTTCACATAATACAAAACTCTTAAATTAAAAACATTTTTACACTAAAAAATTAAAAAGACAAATGCTACAAGGCTTAGGTCATACATAGAATCAACATTTGAATTATGTATTAGAGTGCATTTGCATGTGTGTGTGTGGAGGGGGGTGTGTGTGTGTGCAAGTATGTGTGAGCAGGTGTGTATGTGTATGTTTGTGTGTGTGCATGTGTGTGTGTGTATGTGTGTGTGTTTTCACAATAGTTAATAAAACTAGAAAGACACCATGAGAAAAATATCAATGGATTATGAAAACAAGAGAGTCAAAATGTTATACATGGAACATGAAAGTAGAGGAGGTGTAGGGAAAGGCAGTGTGGAGAGGGATGAATTATAATTAAACAAAATGACCAGTGTCTATGAAACAATATTATGGACCCCACACAGACTTCTTAAAGGCTAGTTGACTGTGTAAACCCACTCATAAATCTGGCAGATCAAGTAAAATAAGCCAGAGAGTCAGCCTAACAAGAATGTCAGCTACTAATGTAATGACTCTACCTCAACATGTAATGTGGAGAACAGTTGAGGAAAAGACCCCAACTGGGAACCTTCCCACATGGCCACACTGATACACATGCTCCTGCACACATACACATATATATGAACACATATAAATCATAGATGTCACAAACATAAAGATAACAATAAAAAACATGAAAATAGGTAACTGTTCAGATATCCAACTAAGGAAGTTCTGAACAACAAAACATGTGACTGTGTAAAAAGATGCACCACACAAATGAAGGAAATAAGTACATCAGGCAGGGGATTAAAACACAGAAATTTGGGGGGATGCACATAGCTAAGCTAAATAGCCAAAATAATATAAACTGATGCTAAAATGAGCAGAGAATTAGAATAGATATTTTTCAAGGAAGAGATACAGATGGACAAATGAACAATTATTCTACTTAACTAATAGTACAGAGGTGAAAGTCAAGATCAAGAATCAAGACATGATCGCACCCTACAACTTTTAGGTAATTAATATTACAGCAGATAAAGATGAATGCTATAGAGCATGTGGATAAAAGGGAATGATTCTCGATTGTTGGGAATGTAACTTGGTGCAGTGATGACAGAAAATAGCATGTGACATGCTTGGAAACATAGACGGAAGTGACAGAGACACTAGAAGTCACATTCCTGCTGTTGTAATTAGTTAAAAACCACTGGATTTTTAAGAAGTATGTACATGACCAATATTATTGTCACATGTTTTACAATAATGGAGTTATATAAACAATCAAATACCTGTCCATATATGGCTGCTGAAAGAATATGTTTTTCTCTCTCCCTAATGTCTTCTCCTCCATCCTTATTCACCTCCTTTCTTCTTCTCTCTCCACCTTCCTCCTCTCCTTCACTCCCCTCCTACTTTTCTACAACCACCCCCATGTGAGACCAAACAGATCCAAATGAACACACAACACATACAGGAATTGAGTTGTACAGTTTAATCAGTCAGTTATTTCATAACACATATATTTTTACACAAAAGTTGAGAGTCAAACTTGAAAACAATTTACAGAGCATGATGAAGATAACACAAAACACAGTCACAGTCTAACTGAAGGTGAATAATTAGGTGGTCATGTAGTATTTAAATTACTTTTTCAGATATTTTAGTAGAAAGGTAGAATTTTTCAATATATTTTGAAGTGTCTTGGAAATACTCAGAAGCACTTCCAGCCAGGAAACCTGGGACTCTGCAGAATCTCTTCAGTAGAAGCCACAGGTCCAGTACCTTCTACAGCACAGTGGGCGGCAGCAGCCATAACCATAGCCACCATAACCACCATAGCCACCATAGCCACCGTAGCCACCGTAGCCACAGCCATAGCCACAGCCATAGCCGTAGCCTAGGCCACCATAGCCATAGCCCAGGCCACCATAGTAGCTGCCGTAGTAACACATGGTGCCAGAAGAGGACTGTTTAGCTTATGATCAGCAGTAGGTTTCTTGAGTCTGGATGTTACCATCTGCCAAGGGCCTTTTATACACCTGGGTTGTTTTTGGGGAAAACCACAGGCATTGCAGCATCACACATATTTCCACCGTGCTTCAGAAAATACCAGCATGTCATAGTTTACTGGACAAACAAATCAGCATACCTGAGATAATTGTGCTCATATATCAGGATCCCATGGTCAAATCATAAGGCTTTCACCTGAAATTCTGGTACTGTTTTCATGACTCTGTCTTGTTCTGTATTTAGTTTATTTAATACTTATGGAACTCTACTGTGTCTCTATGAAAATCATTTAAATAGCACTCTCTCTTTTTATGTCTGTTTGTTTGGTAATACTCCATAAGTAAAAGGTCTTTGTGTTTTCTTTTCTTTTGTATGTTAATTGTAAAGTAATTCTATCTAGAGGAATGTATTCCTTAAGTCTTTCTAATGAAAAACGATGTGGTTATTGGTAACTTGATGATAGTTAATATCTACATAAGTTCATTTTTGCTTTATTCTGAATGTATGTCATTCATACATGTTCTTTCAAATTTTTTGTATATTTTCTTTTGTGCTGTTGTCAGTCAGTTTTTACTACTATCACTCTGTGGTATGATTTGAGACCATCTTCTTTCTTTCTTTCCTTTTTTTTTGGTTTTTCGAGACAGGTTTTCTCTGTGTAGTTTTGGTGCCTGTCCTGGAACTCACTCTGTAGTCCAGGCTGGCCTCGAACTCACAGAGATCCATCCACCTGCCTCTGCCTCCCAAGTGCTGGGATTAAAGGCATGCGCCACCACCGCCCGGCAGAGACCATTTTCTATAGGCAGAGTTTTCTTGTCCCAATTGCCTGCTCCCAAATAACTGGGAGCCACTCTCAAATAAGCACTCAGAGGCTTACTATTAATTGACAAATCCTTGGTCAATAGCTCAGGCTTGTTGTTAACACTAACATTTAAATTAACCCACATTCTTTATTTATACTCTGCTACATGGTGGTACCTTCATTAGCATGGCACGTTTATCTTCTGGTCCCTCTGCATCTGGCTGATGACTCCCTTGACTCTACCCTTCCTCCTCCCAGAGTCCTCTATGCTTCTTGTCCCATCTATACTTCCTGCCTGTCTACCTGTCTACCATTCTGTCAGCTTCTTATTAACCAGTGAGAGTAATACATATTCATAGTGTACAGAAAGATTATTCCATAGTATTTCGTATTTCCCCCTTTTGTCTAATTAAAAAGGAAGTTTTTTCTAACATAGTAAAACTATACATATATATATATATATATATATATATATATATATAGTTATTAAGTAAGAATAACAGTTACAAAATCCAGTCTGTTAGTATTTCACGAAATTAGAGAAAATACTCTATCATCTCTGTGAGTCTAAAGTTTTGTATCTAATTTACCTTTTATCATAACTAAGGAAAACTATAATTATCTAGTCTTCAACTCAATCAAAGACCCCAGAAGGGTGAAGCGTTACCTAATAATGGGGACATCTTGCTCCCTGTACAGTCACCCAATGCTCCTCTGTATCATTGGGACATCCAACTCTGGCCTACAGGCCTTGCATATCTGGCAGACTGTCCTGTGAAGCAGGGAATTCTGAAAGACTTTTCTACCTTGTCTTGGCAAAGTTTGGCAGTCACCATTCTTGTGTCCTGCTGGTCCAGTTTGGACAGTAAAATGGCAGCAATTGAGGCAAGGACAGTTTCTTGCTCTAATGACTAGCTTATGCCACAAAGAAAGCAAACTTCATATGGAGATTTTTCAATGTTCGTCATCTTCTTTGATGTATATTGGTGCTGCCAGGAGCAGATGTGTCTCACTGTCCTGAAAAACCTTAGGGAATTAAATATAATAAATTCCATATTCTGTAGGTCTTTGAAGTGTTTGAAGATTATATATCTACCTAAATATATCTGTATGTGACCTTGAAAACATACTTGACTATAAGTTTGACTGTTATAGATGACTATTAACTTTATTTTTTATACACTACATTTTAAAATGAGCAGCATAGGCACAATACCACAAACAAGAGAAGAAATATACATATACTATAACAAAATAAACTTTAAATTTGTATCAATAAGCCATAATCTATATCAATGTAAAATATTTAAGATTAATAATTGTTTTTTGAATTAAAGTAGATTCAATAATCTGCCCTTTTATTTTACAATTTCTCTATCCCCTTTTCTTTTTATGGTGAGATCCCTGAATATAAACTACTTTGTTTAGTTTTTCTCCTAACCATTATCAACAACTTGTAACCAATCCCCATTAAATGATAATAAATATCCATAAACCACTTTTTTTGAAATGTGGATATAGTTCCTGTTGATTGGGGGCACTGGTAATTTTTGGGGACTCTGAAAAAGTTTAGGATAATTGTTTTGGCTGTAGTATTTTGTGAGGCTGGATTGTCTCAGTCAGCAGTCTGGATACTGGATCACCTGGGCCATGGTTTGTTTACATTGCTGTCTGGTCTCCTTGTGCTGAAAATCTAGAAACTTTTAAAGGTAACACACACACACACACACGCACACACACACACACACACACACACACACACACACACACACACACACACATATCTATATCTGCATTAGTATATGTATAGATTGTACGTTGCATATAAATCAGCTAAAGATGGTTTTTTTTTGTTTTATGTTTGAGGAGGTAAAATATACATCATGTGTCTTATAGTTCTAGGTTTATTTCTTCATGTTTGTAGCCAGATTTTTCAGGGGTTCTTCCTTGATCAAACCTGATTTTCCTTAACCCAGAATAAATCCATAGCCTCTCATTTCCTATGGAAATAAAAGCATAACCTCTCCCCAAAAGTAACACATCTTTTGACTTAAATTTTCAAGTCAAGATATTTTTTAAAATGTATAGGTTTGTTTAATCCAGCAGTTTCCATAATCCAACGTCTTTCAGCAACCAAAAAATTCAGACAACACAATAACATACAGGATCCAGACTCTGTTTATTTTCCATCTTTACAAGGCTTATTTCTTTTATATTATTTTACTTCCTTTTTAAGGAATTTAATTTTTTTTTAAATATTACATTTTCCCTTTTTATCTAATAAAAAATAATAAAAAAGTTATAACTAATATAAGAAAAACTATATACAATAAGTATAATAATTATATACTATATATATATTATATAGTATGTGTATATAAGCAAAAAAATACATCAGCAATGGCTAGTCCATTTGTATTTGACAAATTCAGAGAAAATATTCCATTATCTATTCTATTTTGGTGAGTCCAAAATATACCTAACTCACTTTCTATCCTAACTTTATTACCAACAGAAAGCTATCTTATGATGTCTTTCAAACATATATTTTATGCCTATTAGTTAGTTTCTTTCCTGAATTTCTTAACAAGGAAAATTGTAACTATACTTATATAATCTTCAACTCCCTCAGAGACCCAAAAAGGACATAATGTTACCTAGTAAACAGGAAGTGCAAATAAGCCACTTTAAAAAAAAAAACATGAGTTGAGAGAAACAACCAGCTGCCTGGACAGTCATCCTAGGTTTTTCTACAACATTGGGGCATCATCTTCAGTCTATAGGCTTAGCATATCTGACAGACTCATTTGTGAAGTAGTATGTCCACAAGGCCTACAGCCTGACCTCACATTCAGTTTGAGTATTCCATGAACCAGATAAACCTGAATTCCACCAGTGTCCTGTCATGATTCAGGATATTAAACTCTGTAAACTTCTGGTGATTTTGGAATTTGGATGCCTATTCTTCTTGGCTTGTGGGTGGCTTCATCTCAGTGTCCCTTTCTTCTCCACATCCCATTCTTCCCGGCTTGTGGGTGGTTTCATCTCAGCATCCCATTCTTCTCCACTTGTGGGTGGCTGCATCTCCTTTATAAAATGCTAGTCTACCATTGAGAGGTTAGACTCTGTCAACCTAGTTACTCTTTCAAGAATAACTGTTTCAGCTACTGTTCCACTGCACACCAGAAACCATCAGTCCACTGCCTATTCAGTTGCCTTTAAAGAAAGGGGCATTGTACCTTTTCTGGATTGTAAAGCCACTTCAGCGATGGTGCCATATTGTCCTGGTCTCAGAGGACACCTGTTGCCAAAGCTGCAACAACATTTGTTTTGGCAAGGATTGGTAGTCCTTTGTTTTGTGTCCTGTTTGTCAATTTTGGATAGCATACTGTCAGCAGTAGATTTGAGGACACTTCGTTGCCCAGTGGCTAACCTTTGTCCCAATGAAAGTTAACTCCATATGCAGTTTCTCCAATGCCCACATCTTCTCTGAGGTAGATTGGTGCTGCCAGGAGCTGACATGTCTCATAGTTATAAAAATGAAAAAAATTCTAAGTTATTAAAATATTTTAAATGCCATATTCTGTAGATCTCTGAATGGTTTGAAGATGACCTGTCTAAAATATATCTCTGCTTGACCTTGAAAACATACCTAATATGACTACAAGTTCGATTGTAATATCTAACTACTAACTTTCATTTCTTTACATTCTTTTTTTTTTTTTTATTAATTTATTTTGCAATACAATTCAGTTCTACATATCAGCCACGGATTCCCTTGTTCTCCCCCCCTCCCGTCCCCCTCACCTTCCCCCCAAGCCCCCCCCCCCCATTCCCATCTCCTCCAGGGCAAAGCCTTCCCCACAGACTGAGGTCAACCTGGTAGACTCAGTCCAGGTAGGTCTAGTCCCCTCCTCCCAGGCCGAGCCAAACAATCCTGCATAGGCCCCAGGTTTCAAACAGCCAACTCATGCAATGAGCACAAGATCTGGTCCCACTGCCTGGGTGCCTCCCAAACAGATCAAGTCAATCAACTGTCTCATCCATTCAGAGGGCCTGATCCAGTGGGGACCCCTCAGCCATTGGTTCATAGTTCATGTGTTTCCATTCATTTGGCTATTTGTCCCTGTGCTTTATCCA